GGACCTTCTGAAGAGAACTTGATTACGGCCTGATTCATGCATCTCATAAGATAATGCTAAAAGTCAGCAGCTTGAACTTCAGCCTCAAGGAAAAGTGGAAATGTAAGAGCTGTTGTTCTTGCAGCCATAAAACGGTGATTTTCGGGTCTAAAACAAAGTACTTCGACAGTGGCCGTTGCGCGGCTGGCTGACCATTTGCTACAAGCAAGCAGAAGAGATACGTTTAAATGACCAGGCTTCCATCAAAGACGGCGTTGCGCCACTCATGCCTGTCTCGCGCAGTTGGGGATGCATTAAAGCCATCTTTTTCATTGTCATTATCGACGTCAAACCTGGACTTTTGCGGGCATCACATGTGGCCCACCCTAACATTGTCGGCAATAGCCACCAACCTTGTACTAACCGCCCTCTTCAGATTAACATGCTCTGGTCAGTATTCTAAAGCGTCAGGGTCAGGAGTCCTCTCACCTGACTTTTAGCAAACGCCGAATATTGCCCCTCTCTCTTCCAACTTCATGCTGGCGGCCGGGCAAGACAAAATGGTTGTGGCGAAGAGGACTGCCACGACGTATCGTCTTGCTAGATAGACGCCAGCCTGTCAGCCCCTGGATTTAGCCACCTGCAAGGATGACTGGTCAATTTGTGTTAGAGATTTAGGCAGGTTCGATTGACATGGGCCGCACGAGCTGACGCTGATGTGCTGTTAGCGTCTTGCCCTGCTTGACAGCTGGCATCATGGTCTGTTCTTTCGGAAGTCAGGAATCTGGTAAAATGAAGAAGTGACACATTCGCGCAGTGATTGTTGCTTCGTTCCTTCAGAGGACCTTTCCTACATCTGATTCGTTCCTCTGGAAGGTATCCAGGGCCTAGCAATGGAGCTCAAAAATAAACTTCTAAGTCTGCATCGACGGACAACAGATGGACACAGCATCTGAGTGCGTATTGGGCCCCAAGCTTACTGTATTAGGGTGGATTCATTGCTGACAACCCAACTTTTCCACTGTTTGAGTTTGATAACACGATTTGCCATCTGTCTCAACTTCCACCACTGTTATTGCCTGAGAAAGGAATGAACTGTTCAGACCCAGGCACTGATAGAAGGAGCCCTCTTGCTGAGCGCTGATCCCACTGATGAGCATTGAGAGAAACAAATGCAGCTTTGAGGAGAGGCAGCCCTATGCTGGCCACCCTGATCGATTTGTGCAGTGCTTACATCTTAAGGGAGGTCTGGAAAACTCTCCTACTTCTTAGATTGAAAATGAACCTTCTCAAGGTAAACAAAGCAAACGAGCTTTTGACGTTAAAGGTAGCTGCAAATGATCAGAAGCACTAGTCGAAGCGCGGTGCAGCAGGCTAAGATCAATAGTAGGATTACAATGCAAGAGGAAATGTGTTCAAACTGTGAAGAAAGTAAAGGCCAGAGCCAGCAAACTGCTACTGCTCAATCCTTCATTTTTACGTCTGCATGTAATCGATGGCTGAAGTGAACCAACTGAAGGAAAATCAAGGTGCAAAAGCATGGAGTATTGCGTACCCCCATCTACAAAGACAGCTGAACCCAACGTTCCCGTTGGCGCATACGTCCACTGTTAATGAGTTGTCCTGAAATGAAGCCTCACCAGAAAAGCCTGCCAGCTAACGTCAAATACTCTGCAGCGTGCTCGCCAGGACAACTCTTCCCTGGCTTTGCACAGCTCCCCTCCGCCTCGCTGCATCTCCTGCATTTTCCCCAAAGAGCAGTCTTCCTATTGGCACAGCTGCAAGAGAAGGTTTTTTCTTCCATCGCCGCTGGCGGCTGAACACATCTATCTGTACAGTTCGCCATAGAGCTGGCTGCTGCCAAGCACTCTGCAAGCCCGCTGCAGAGCACTCCTCGAAGGCTGCATTGCTATGGCACGCCCGGCAAGCTTGCTTCCTTCACCATTTGGATCATTGCACACCTTGAAGTGCGCTTGGAGTCTGGCAGCCCTGCCAGCGTGGCATGTTGTGAAATTTGAATGCTTCTCCAGTCTTTTCACCGCTGGATGATATTGTAGAAGTTTCTGGCACCGTCCGATGGACATCCGTTCGGTTCAGCTAGAGAAGTTTTGTGACTCGTTCGATCAACCTCCGAAAGATGCGGAGAAGTTCTGAAGAAGTTATTTGGTCCGCAAGATGTTTTAATGGAGAAGTTCCTAAAGTTGTTGACGCCGTCCGATGGCTCTCTGAAAGAACTCCTGATTGGTCCGGCCGGCCCGACGCTCAAAAACTTCCCGGTGTGTGGGGTCGCTGTGAGGCAAATCAGGAGGGGAGGCTTGGATGGGGGTGGTTTGAAATTGATGCGCACGCGCTGCCTCGTCCATGTTTTTGTCGCATATACCTATTGCCATGGGTCGAATTTTTGTTTTGGCGTGACGTCAGGGCGCTGTTGCAGTATTGTTTCGAATCGAATGATTATGCGTGAGGTCTCAACCCTTCTGAAAAGTTGGCTGGATCTGGGAAGGCCCGGATCAAGGTTGCGTAACATAAATCGGCTAGCTGGTTATGCCCGTGTCTAGCTGACCCAAAAAACATTATGCACGAGAGTCCGGACTGTCAAGTCGCGCATGCAAACTGAACAAGTATTATCAACAAAAAATCACAAATTGGGGGAATTGTTGGAGACCCTCCAGCCTCAGGGTTCACATTGACCTCAGGGCCAGGCTAATCACACCACGTTCAGAATTGCATCACATTCACAATGGCGCCCGCTCCACCTCGCTTAAAATTTAACTGAACGGCGTTAAAGGAATAATGGACAATTGTGATGTAGGGCTCTGAAGACGGTGTTGTCAGTCAGTGCACAGGTTGCGGCCCACTGTTGATCAAAAGGGAGGACTTAAGTACTGCAACGGAGCAAGAAAGCGCCAGACAGTTTGTCTTGGAAGCTGTTGTATTTGCTTAGTTGGGAGCCTGACAATGTCGCGGCGCGGGTTTGATTATGATGGGTTTTCGCTGGGGCAGGGTCCGCGATACCGCGCTCAGGAGCCAGTCCGTTCGGGACGAGCCATGTACCTGCCCTCGCAGGGAGGCAGCGACGATGATGAGGACGTGGGCAACATTGGGTACGCCTCACAGGAGGACGATGATGCTGGGGAGCCGCCAGCCCCGGCACAGGCACAGGCGGGGGACGGCGATGAGGTGGACCCGTTGGATGCGTTCATGGCCGGCATCGATGAGGAGGTGGTCAAAGCAGGGGAGGGCAAGCCGGTGGAGAAGCCGGACATCGAGGAGGAAGAGGACCCCATGGAAAGCTTCCTGGCCGCAAGGTGACCGCCAGTGCGGGCTTGGGACTGGATTGTGTAGCAGTGGTGCAGCTGCACGCTGCCTTTGATGGTTTGTTGGTCAACGTCCCATTGTTGAGTCAAGTTCCGCTTTTTTTGGGAAAGGAGGATGAGCATTTAACTTACTTGGAACCGAGTTCTCCTCACAAACTTCCAGTGGGCGGAAGAGTGGGACTTGGCCCGCAACTTGTCTATTACAATTGGGTCAGTATGGAATCTGCAATCAAGCCATCAAACATTTTCTGGACAGCAGGTCATATGTAAATACCCCCCCTCGTCACCTTGCTGAACCTCGTGTCCGCTTGTGCTCCGTGATGACGCGACCTGGGCGCTCTGTGTGCAGGAAAGACGCGGGGCTCTCCCTGGCGCAGGAGGCCCTCCACGCGGGGTACGACAGCGACGAAGAGGTGTACGCGGCGGCGCGCGCGGTGGATGCGGGCCAGGTGGAGTATGACAGCGACGACAACCCGGTGGTCACGCTGGACAAGAAGAAGATTGAGCCACTGGACCCAGTGGACCACGCAGAGATCAACTACGATGATTTTGCTAAGGATCTCTATGAGGAGGACCTGGAGATCACGGCCATGAGCGAGCCCGAAGTGGCGGCTTACCGTGGCCAGAAAGGCATCCGAGTGTCGGGCTTTGATGTGGCGCGGCCCATCAAAACCTTTCAGCATGCAGGTTTTGATGAGGCGCTGGCGGGGGTGATTGCCAAGCAGGGGTATGAGGTGCCAACGCCTATCCAGTGCCAGGCCCTCCCGGTGGTGATGTCGGGGCGTGATCTGATTGGGATCGCCAAGACGGGCTCCGGCAAGACGGCGGCCTTTGTGCTGCCCATGGTGGGCCACATCCTGGACCAGGTAAGGGCCCCGCTCTCAAACATGACGCCCGGGACACTGGCTGTACCGATCTGCGGCTTGGGGGAGTTCCTACGTAAGAGATGTGTTGCTTATTGACTGACTCTTTGCGAGCTCGGGCTAGTTTGCACCCCCTGCGGATTTATCCTAGTGTTGACGTTATTCGAAGATTCTGAGCCAACTCTGAGGGCAGGCCTCGTCCTTCTTGACCACCACCAAGGCACCACGTTTCGGAAACATCCAGGCTCTCTTGGGCTCCGGGCCATCTTTGCAGCCCTCTTTCACTCGGCCATCCTTGTTGGCCCTGCAATCGAAGCAGTGCGCCTTGTCCTTGTGTGCGTGCAGCCGGAGTTGGGCAAGGGGGAGGGGCCCATCGCGGTCATCTGTGCACCCACGCGGGAGCTGGCGCAGCAGATCTTCGCTGAGGCCAAGAAGTTCTGCAAGCCGTTTGGCATCCGAGTGTCGGGCGTGCTGGGCGGCATGAGCAAGTTCGAGCAGTTCAAGGAGCTCAAGGCCGGGACGGAGGTCGTGGTCGCCACGCCGGTGAGGCCACGCGTCTCCCACGGCAGCAAAAAGAAGCCGCAGTAGCTGCGAACCACTGCTGAAGTATCTGCAATTGCGTCGGATGTTTGAACGATGTTCTTGGAGTTGCTCGAATGGAGGAAGGAGTGCCTGCTCTTTCAAACATAGACGATCTCAGGTCGGATTCCCGCACTTTGGAGGAGGCTTCTTACGATGCCTTCATGTGCGCTAATGCGTGCAGCCCTTTCCTCCGTGTGGCAGGGCCGGCTGATCGACATGCTGAAGATGAAGGCGGTGGCGCTGCGGCGGTGCACGTACCTGGTGCTGGACGAGGCGGACCGCATGTTCGACCTGGGCTTCGAGCCGCAGGTGCGCTCCATCACAGGCCAGATCCGGCCCGACCGCCAGACGCTGCTCTTCTCCGCCACCATGCCCGGCCGCATCGAGCGCCTCGCGCGCGACATCCTGAGCAGCCCCGTCAGGGTCACCGTTGGAGACGTCGGATCGGTGAGCCACACGACCTTTGGGGCGCCTGCGCGAGGCACTGACTGCAAGAGGTCGGGGGCTTCCGACAGTACAGCAGCAAGCCCCCAGCCCTGCCTCTCTTCCGTCCAAGTCAACTTCTGTGTTGGGACAATGCCGCGTCGTTCTCAGTGGTGGCCCTGCAAGACCCCGTCGTGAGGGTGTGCGCCGTGTGGCAGGCGAACGAGGACATCCGGCAGGTGGCGGAGGTGCTGCCCACCGACGAGGCCAAGGTGGCGTGGCTGCTGGAGCGGCTGCCGCGCTTCATCGACAAGGGGGACGTGCTCGTGTTCGCCAACCAGAAGGCCAAAGTGGAGGCCGTCGAGGCCAAGCTCAAGGAGCACGGCTTCAGAGGTGCGCCGCGCCGCTGCCGCGCCGCTGCCGCGCAGCGAGCGAGCCTCAGCCGAGCTTGTCGTAGTTGGTGGTCTGATTAGCGTTTCCTCGTCCCGGACAAGGTTGTTGCCGACAAACCGCCTGTGCTCTTTTCTGCCCCGGACGCATCTGAGTGCGTGTGGACCGTGTGTGCCCCCCAGTGGTGGCGCTGCACGGCGACAAGGACCAGGCGTCGCGCATGGACGTGCTGCGCGAGTTCAAGGCGGGCGTGCACCACGTGCTGGTGGCCACCGACGTCGCCGCGCGTGGCCTGGACATCACCTCCATCAAGACCGTCGTCAACCTGGATGCTGCAAAGGTGCGCGTCGAAAGCTTGCGCTCGATTGCACAAGCTGAGTGCCCTCTGCTCAGGACTGGAATTCAGGCTCGTTCTGAGCAAGTCAAAGATCGTCGGCTTAGGCTTGAAACTTCAAAGTGCCCATCAGAAGGCCCTCTCTTTATCGGCCCTTCTCTCCGATTAGCTGGTATGATGGCCATGCTCCATTTGCTGTAAGGCCCAAGAAGGGAGGGCTAGCAGTAGTCAAAAAATTCCCTCAAAAAGAGTGTGCCACTCGGGTTCCTGGCTGCGAATTGAACATTAGCAGCAAAGCTACTTCGTTTCATTTTCGTGGCACGCACACAATCCCAACTTCGCACATGCGCCGTGCTTTGCTGCTACATCTCCTGTTGCGCTGCATATATGCAGCGAACACGTTTTTTCCGGCTTCATCGGCGTTCCGATACACGAGTCGGCCAGCCCTGCTGCGTCCCCATACCGTGGCTGTGCATTGTCGTGCAGGACATTGACACGCACGTGCACCGCATTGGGCGTACCGGGCGCGCGGGCGCGACGGACGGGTCGGCGTACACGCTGGTGACGGGGCGCGAGGCGCACTTTGCGGGGGAGCTGGTGCACAACCTGGTGCACGCGGGGCAGGCCGTGCCGGACGCGCTGCTCGAGCTGGCCATGAAGGACGGCCACTTCCGGAAGCAGCGAGCGGGGGGAGGCGCAGGTGGGGGAAGTGCAGGCGGGGGGGCCGGGGGCGGGGGCAAGAGGGGGGGGAAAGGAGGCAGGGGCAGGGGCAGGGGAAAAGGAGGCGGGAGAAGAGGGCCCATGGTGGGAGGCGCCGGGATCGGGTTTGCCGCGGAGACAAAGGCAGAAGCGGGCGGGCCGACGAAAGCATCCTTAGGTAAGGCCGAGCTTGCGAGCCTGGGTCCAAGCACACCGCGCTGGCTGGGGATGTGCAAAACGGGCCTCCGAATCTGCAAGCCCGAGTTGGAAGTCAAACGGACATGCCCGTTCCTATCGTTGCTTTGACTCTTATATTATCGCACTGTACAGCCAGGGTAGCCTGTTCTCGTTAATGTCAAAAGGGCCAAAACTTCAGATTCAGCTTGAGCGGAGCTTTTCATGGAATTCGAGGGGGGAGCAGTCTGACATGGCCGTCCGACACCCGTTTGCGTCCCCCTGCAGGCCCCGACTTTACTCGGGCAGCTGCACAGAACTCTTTGAAGCAGGGCATGGCGGCCAAGTTCAAGAGCAGCTTCGTCGGCCCTCAAGCCGCTGCGGGGAACGCCACCTCGTTCAAGGGGCCGGCTGCGCACCCGCGCCCCGCCCTGCACGGCTTTGCCCAGCCTGCGGTGGCAGCCGGGCCGGCAGGCAGCAGCCTGGCCGGCTTTGCGCGCGCGTCCACATCCATCCAGCCCGACGCGCCCGTCGAGCGGCACAACACGGACGCCGAGATCGCCGAGGCCCTGGCGCATGCGCGCGCAGTCGCGCATGCCCAGGCCTTCGGCACCCCGTATGCTACAGCACCCGCACTCCCAGGCCCGGCAGCGCAAGTGGCTGCCGCAGCTGCCGCAGCGCAGGCGCGAGCATTGGCGTATGCGCAAGGCTTCGGCCAGGCAGCAGGAGCAGCCAGCATGCCGGCAGGGACGGACGGGTCGCATGCGGGGGCTGTAAATGGAGGCGAGACGGGCACAGGTGATAGGCAGCGCAGGGAAGAAGGCGGACGGGGAGAGAGGCGGTCCAGGTGGGACCGCCACGAGGATGACGGCGGGCGGGAAAGAGAGCGGTCGCGAGTGGACAGTGGCGCGGAGAGGATGGAACGCTCGGGAGAGCAGCTGTCATCCCGAAACGACAGGGATACGGACAGGGACAGAGAGCGGTACCGGGATGGGCGAGACGCAGATAGGGGGCGCGAGCAACACGGGGACGACCGGCATCACCGGGACAATGGTCGAGACGCGTATCGAGAGCGAGACAGGGACAGGGACGGCGACAGGAAGCGGGACAGGGACGAGGAGGTGCGGCACGGCCGGGAGGGGGCCGCAGAAAGGAGGAGGAGATGGGACACGTGACCGGCAGAACGCGCAAGCGCCGGCTGAGTTCACCTATCTTCTGAAAGGTTGATCCCTTGTTGAACACGCATGGCATCAGAGGCAATGCGTGAACGCTCGGCAACCGTCAACCTTCAGGCACTGCATGAGCGCTAGGAGAACTGCTTGATGCAGCTTCTCTTTCTCTGATTTAAATTGAGGGTGTCAGAAGACGCGATCAAGAGCGCAACTATCAAGAGCGCAACTAAATGCAGGCTCGTTACTGTCACGTTAGTGGCGTCAATCAAGCACTGAAAGTCTAATGCTGAATTATCTTGGCCTCGAAAGCTTTGATCATATGCATTATTTGGGCTGGCCGACCGGTCGACCGCGGCTTCGGACCCGCTGCCCAACTCTGTATTTGCGGGCCACTGGGTCGGTAACAATATACTACAAATATGATTGCGTAATCCCTTTGGATCGATGAATGCTGCATGCTGTGCGCTCATGCAATTCCGGTCGACTGCGGTAAAACTCAACATACATATTTATTTACGCAATTGTCATACGTACCATATGCCGATCTGCTACACGATATTGGTCGAATTCTGTGTAGACTGGATCAGATGCCCCCGTAATACGATTGAAGCTAGAGCAACATCCTGCAACGATATACGTGGAAACCATGTGTGCAGCAATTAAAACGTTGAAATGCCACGCGGTGCCGCGTACGTGCTCCAACCCAGCTGTACGATTTGCTGATCGATTGTAATCGTAGTGGACCCACTGCACTAGCAGACGGTCGCCTGGTTCTGCAATTCTGGTTAAGGCCCCCGCACGATCATGCACGTCTAAGAGTGTAGGGAAAACTAGCGCGTTTCAATTAATGATCGTATGCATTCCATGGCAATGATGCCTGGCTCGCTAAGTTCGTTCTAATCTGTTGACTTTTAGGGGCTGAACCCATGAATTACATATGTAGGTACGTCCGCTTTCAACTACTGTAGCTTGATCAATCAGGATAACCCCGTGGATCGATTGCAATGTTGATACATGCATGCCGTCACATACGTGTATCAGTTAGAGCATGTACACTCAACGTGATTGATCAGAACCTATGATTCTGCGCCAGGCAATCAAGTGACTGGCAGAAGGCAAGCAGAGGCCGGCTCTCAACCTTTATTGCAGTGTTTATCGCAGCGTCATTTGGATGTTTCATGTAGTCTTGTTGCCAGCTTGGCTGACCAGCGGAACGACTCTTGAAACCCTCATCTGCGGATACAGCGAGCTAAACAATAAAGCAATACAATCATTAGGTGGGGGTATTGCATATGTACATGCGGAGCAGCTCTTATCGCAATTGCCTATCTATAAGTCAAGATTCTCAATCGCTGGAGGTCTTCTTCCGCAGTATTGAGGTGCTGGCGACAATTGCCGCAATTCCCGCGACCACCGCTGCTGCAACCGCTGTACGTTCCAGCCGTCCGCCCTCAAACATTCCTGGCTGCAAAGACACAGAGGACAGCGCTTCGTGAGGCTGAGGCCACCACCGGTGATGCTCCCTTTTCAACCTCCATTTGGGACATTGTTGATTTACCCCACACGAGCTCGATGTTGGATAAGAGCATGTGCTTGGTCGATCAAACGGGCGGCAAGCGCATGGACTCAGTAGGACAAGGCAACAAGGTTTTCAAGTCTCTGCGACTCCCACTTGTTTGCTACTTTCCGAGCATGCTCTTGAGCCACCACCACCCCCCGTCGCTGGCCGTCTTGGGTACCTCTGTGGAGCTGACGCCGCTGTCGGGGGTGTGCTCCGTCCTGTGGAGCAGGCTCACATCGTACCCCTGCGCCTCCGCCACCTTCAACAGCTCGGCATACGTCTCCTCTGCCAGCGTCGGCGTGCGGGACAGCACCTGCTAGAAGGGGAGATCCATTAGACAGCCAATGCAAAGCACGCATGACAGTCAGCTGCTTGGATCACGTGTCAGCTTCTGGACTGCATGCCGTCTTGTTTGTTTCTTCTGTACCCCAGCTAGGTCAGATGCAGCAGCTTTTGGTGAGCATCTTCGACAACAAATAGCTTGCGTCATTGAAGCTTCCGCAAGCCTCCACTGAAGAAACGATATGGCACATCTTCAGAAGCATACAAAGCACTTGGTCTTGCACACCGAAATCCAGGGTATGGATTTAAAAGTGGAAGTCCATATGATGAAACACCAGAAAAGCTTCCACCACCCCATCATCGACATGTTGGAGAAACATTTCTGAATACTCCCGACAAGTCGCAAGGATCCAATTCTCGTAGATCTTATTCGAAATGAGTCATACTTTGTTCTCCGGACTGAAGGAGAGCCATCATGTTGGCTCGCACCACCATGAATCGAAGTCGACACTGCTTGAGCCTCGTTGCCTTCTCTTGCTTGGCGTCTTACCCAGAGGAACTTGCGCGAGGGCTGGCCAATGAGAGCATACTTGTACTCCGCCTGGTCCAGGGCCATCACGTAGTAGTCCCCACGAACCGGCACCAGGGGCAGGAACGGAGGCACCCAGAACTGAACCTTGAACTCGGCGGCAGCGCTCGCCGGGTCGATCTTCCATGCCTTGCATAGTGGAAAGAACAGCAACTAGCGGTCAGCCCGACTTGGGCATCACCGAGGGGCAGTGTTGACAAGTCAGTGAAAGCTTATAAAGATGACGACGACGCTGGCCTACATCGATGACAAGAATGAATGCACGTGTAGACAATAGAAAGTGTGTTAGCATATTCGAGGGCGTGGGAGAGTTCCACATGACGAATAAACCCAGTTCGCATTGGTGCACAAGATTTTCAGCCGGACCCATGAACTCAAGAATCTGCCTTGGTGGTCGAGCTATCCTTCCCCAACATATCATCGCATGCGCAACAGGACAACAAGCAACGTTAGCAACGCAGAGGGGGATTCGACATATTACAGGATGGCTGTCCAGCCTGCAACCTGGGACTCAACTCCAATGCCAACCAAGAATGCAGTCTACTGCCACCACCTCTGCCATCGCAACCAAAGGATCCGCTACACATGTAAGCTAGTCAAGCTTCACACTGGCTTCATAATCAAACCTTGACGGTTCCACCAGTTGTACCAGAGGGTTGCGCACCCTCACCTTGCCCTCTATGCTGTTCCTCTTCCCTTGCCGGGTGAACGTTTCATTCAGCACCCCAACAGTCCCATCCTCTTTCAGAGTATAATGGGCCATAGTGTTGACAGTGTCCTTTGGTTGGAAGCTGCTCGGGATGCTCGATATTTCAAACCTGTGGAGGAACAACAGTGTCACGCTGGAAACCTACGGACTTGGTGAAAACGTATGGAGAGTGTCGAAAGCGATTTGAGAAGGCATGTTGCAGCAAACCAGCACAATCATGTAACCCAGCCCTGCGACAGGGGGCACGTCGCTTCTCAGTGTCCTTTTTCTGAACTGATTGTCCAGACGTGGCTTAGCAGCGCAGCATTGATTGTGCACTTGATAGGAAATGTACTGCACTTGAACGTATGGAATCTTAAAATAGTTAATCACCAGACAGATCAAGGGCGGTCATTCCTCTCTATATTCAACGGGTGCTGCCTGCTACATTTGTTGCCCATTGGCCGAGTAAAAGTACACTTATTATGTCCCTTTCCTTCGAGGTGGAGCCATAAACATAGAACTCACCATCTTCCCACATACCGCTTCAGGTCAAGGTCCGTCACAGTTTCGAGAGCCTTCTTGGCAGCCATTTCTGAGCTATGATTATTTCAGCAGTAAGTTCGTCCTAGATTGGATGGCAATTGGACGGAGATTGGCTTCTGAAGGATGCTCACTCAGACTGCTCTTCTGCTGCTCCCTGCTCCCTGCTTACAAAAACTGAACACAGAAACACAGAAATTGTTCCGACTCCTGAGCCTAAGGCTGAGGCGTACTAGGCTGTAGCTCAGCTTTGGCCACCTGACCAGATCTGACGGCTGCACTTTCAGAACATAATAGCATCGATGTCATAAAGGGTGCCATGTCAGCACTCGATCTCCACGTGATGTCAGCAGGTCAGCATACGAATTCAATTGGTGGGTAGGTCCTGCACAGTCACTGCACTGGCAGGAGACTCGAGAGGCAGATTGAGTCAGACGTACGGTAGCTTGATCAAGCTTGCTCAGAAGCTGGGGAAGGAGCAGCATTGGTGGAGTTCTGCTCTCCAAGAGGGACAATGGCTTCCGCCGCTGTGACCAGCTTGCTCAATGTTGCGGCCCCCTCCAGTATTTCCGCCAAGGGGTTCCGGGCGCCCGCTGCCACGAGCACGAGAGTCGTTCTGCGCAGCCCCGTGTTTGTGGGCCGGCGCAGCGTGGCCAAGACCTTCAGTGTGGCGGCCTCCGCTAGCAGGACCACAATGTACAAGGTCACCCTGAAAACCCCCACCGGTAGGTGCAAGTGTGCCACCACTGCTCTTGCCTTGCCATCGCATGCCTGAGAGGATGTGGTATGACCACCCTCTCAATGCGCAGGCGCCGTTGACAGCGGACGAATCTGGGAAACCAGGGTAGACAATGCTATGCGTGCAGTACAATGTCCGAAGAAGTGCCACTAAAATGTTCTGAGGTAAAGAGAGTTGTGAGGCATCTGAGCCAATACCTGGGGTCGCAAAGTAGCCCACGTATGCAAGCAGTGCATCTTCCCAGCCTACACCGAAACAATGCGATCGTATCTGGCGCAGCATTTGCATCAATCATGGTGGTGCCTTGCTCAATCAAGACTTCAGCTGGAAGTTCAATGAAAGAAGCATATTTGAGCAGCCAGTTGAACACTTCCCATAGGGGTCCATGCCTGTCGGAGCAAGCTTTGCGCTTCTGGCATGTCTTGGTCGAACCTGATCTGATTACAGAAGACGTCCTCTCATCAGAAGATTGGGGTGTTGATGCTCGTCTCAGTAACGAACCGTGTCTTTGTGGAACACCCCGGTGTTCTCTCTGCTTGTAGATGAGGTCCCCAACAGCACTAAACTTGGAAGCGGCAGACCCAAAGGATTGGTAATGGTGGCGCTGTTGCTATCATTGGCTTGACTCCCATAGCACTGATTGCAGCCGTTGACATGTATTGTGGCGACCACTGGGCACACTGGCGAGCATAAGCTACTGGCAGAGTACCGCCAGTTACAGCCCATCCAAGGGCTCAGTGTGTGCTCAGCTTATGCGAAGCCAATATTTCCAATGTCTTTCGCAGGTGAGGAGATTGTCGAGTGCGCTGAGGACGAATACATCCTGGATGCTGCTGAGAACGCCAACATTGACCTGCCCTACTCCTGCCGCGCGGGCGCGTGCTCGAGCTGTGCGGGCATGATCGTGGAGGGCACAGTGGACCAGAGCGACCAGTCCTTCCTGGACGACGGGCAGCAGGAGAAGGGCTACATTCTGACGTGCGTCGCGTACCCAACCTCGGACGTCACCATTCTGACCCACCAAGAAGAGGAACTCTACTGAGCAGGACAGCAGCCACTGATCATTAGCTGCTGCCAACCAGTTGCAATCATGCAATACAATATAGCCATATAGTGCCTGATGTCCTCAGTCGATCGGCCTGCCAGCATGTGCACATGAGAATTACTGGTGACTCTAAGATATATTTGGAAAAAAATTCACAGCGTAGCATGTCGTGGCTAGCTTGTGATACGTGGGCATCGCCAGTTCACAACCAGGCCCACATCAAACTTGAGCATGGACCTACAGGAAAACCGCTACGCGCACATGCTTTAATGGTCACCATCTCTACCTCAGTCATCGACACAGGACAAGCTGCACTTTTCTGATGCAGCTATGTCTCTCAAATCGAAATCGAATGAAGGGCTTCCACGAAGGAATCATAAATCAATGTTTTCGTTTACCAACATCCTCCTTTTTGACAAGCCTTTGCTTAAGGATCTCAATAATACTGGAAAACGCATCCTCGTTTTCGAGAACCTCCCTCAATTTGGAGCGTAGGCTCGGCTTGAGCTCGTGATCGTTCAGTGGGCTCTGCAAAGAGAGCCAAGTTTGAGGAATGTTGGCGTGCTAGTCGTGGCTCGAAGTGCGACGCAAACAGTACAGAGCCAAGCATGGCTACGAAGTGGCGCCAGCAAGGAGCAGCGTCCTCGTCCTCGTACCAGTTTTTAAGCTCCTAGTGTCTAACCTTTGAAGCTCAGCCAGCACCTCATCACAACCAGTCGCCCTGCCAACAATGACCCGCGATGACTGGGCGGAGTTGCTCAAGAGAATGGAGCCTGGACTGCATTCCACCGTGACTAGTAGGCATTGCCCCGCGGGTCATGCAGCAGGCTGGCCAGCTTTACCCAGCGGGAGTGCTCGGAGGGCCGCCCGCCGGTTGGCTCACCTCGAGTGCGCTGTGCCACAGGAAGCGCGGCCACACTGCGGCCAGCCCCGCCTGCAGGCGCGCGATCTCGGCAGGGGTCACGGCTCCCAGGATGTCCGCGAGGCGCGGCAGGTCCGCGTTGGCCACGCGCAGGCTGAAGTCCGCCCAGTCCAGCAGGTCGCCCTCCCACGGCTGCACGATGTGGTCCTGCACGCGCGCCCCCCGCACCACCTGTCAGACGCCCGCCCCGCCCCATCACACCCGCGCCCTCTGGCTGCACACTGGGGATCCGATGCAGGCTGGGAACCACGAGCAGGCAAGGCGGCCCGCGTCTAGTGGCTCTCTATAAACAGTCATAGGGTAAACATTTCCGACATGAGCGTGCTCCGCTCTTGGCCGTTGGCTCAGGCTGTGGGTGTGCTAGGTGCCTGGCGCGGCGGTGCGCGGGTGCCTCACCGCGATGATGACGGGGATGCAGCCCATGAGGACGCCCTGCACTGCGCGCGTGCCCCAGCCGTGGCCGGGCGGCCCCAGGCAGAAGACGGTGTCGGCCATGATGTGCAGGTAGTCGGGGTACGGGTCCGGCGGCTCCGCGAGGCGCCAGTTGAGCTCCTCCTGGCGCGCCTCGTACAAGTCGAAGATTGCCTGCCGAATGCCGAAGCTGTAGTCCGTCGCCCCGCCGCCCGTCAGCTCCTGCGCACCAGACGCACCTCAGGCACCGGCCAGCGCGGCACCCGGTCATGATCAGCAGGGGTCACGAGTATCCTACGGACCAAGGTCGGCCATCGCGAGATGGCATCCCGTTGTTGCGCGGCCGGTCCCTGCAGCCGGGCTGGCTGTGCGCGTGGGCGTGCGCACCTGGCGGCGGCCGGAGGAGCCGGAGAAGTAGGCGGTGCGCTGGCGCGGGTGGGCGAGCTCGGGGTCGATGAGCGGGCTGAAGCGCGCCAGCTTGTCGTGCTTGTTGATGTTCCAGTCCATGTTGGGCGGGATGGCGATGTCGTGCCCCACCGCAAAGCACGCGCGCAGCGGGTCGGCCACCGGGTCGCGGTCGCTCATGGTGCCCGTGAAGCCCCACAGGTTCAGCAGCATGGCCGGCGCCAGCGCGCGCATGCGCTCCCTGCACGCAGCAATCACGAGAGAGCGCCCAGCGTGAGCCCAGGCACCATGGCGGCCAGGGGACTACAGGAGCGTGCCCGTTCCGAGTGACGCTTGAACGCTGGTACAATTGGCCGGACGCGCAGGTCGACATCAAATCAGCTTTCATTCAAACTCCATGTACTCACCAGCTGGCAAACAAAGTCGATCGGTCCAGAGGACCATCGTTTCTCGAGCAGAAACAGATTGACAAGAAAGAAGTCCAGCAGTATTCTGAACTGGGCGACTGAACAACCAGCGTTCAACACTACAGTAAGACACCAACCGACCGCCTCTGTTGCCACCCCATGCTTCTGAAATCAGAACACCTGGGCCCTAGACTTTGCAGGACGAACTGTTCAGTACTGCAGCGCTCACCCGCCCTCGTCGCAGGGTCCCCAGTCGTCGGTCATGACAAAGAGGTGGTCGGCTCCGCCGTGGCGCTTCCAGTACGGCCACGTGGCACTGATGTAGTCCACCACGCGCTGTGTGTACACGCCGCGAATGAGCCGCCACCGCGGCCAGGCGGGCACAAAGAAGAAGTCCGCCGTCTCGGGGTCCGTTGTTCGGTGCGGCGAGTGCAGCAGCCGCTCCAAAAACTGCAGCCACACCAAACAAATGGGCTCCAGTGGGAGAAGCTGGCCAAGAACCCTTTTGACGAGACCAAGTGACATACTCAGGTGTAAAATCGAAAAGTGCACGACAGAGCTTCGAGGACAAACGGGAAACATTTCGGCAAGCGTTCAAAAGCTGCACGTTTTCTATCAAGAGGAGGTCCGTTGGATGCGGGCAGTGGCGCAGCGCGCGCGGGCGCGCACCTGGTGCGGCTCGTGGCGGTCGAGCGACACAAGGGAGTGCGTCATGAGCCACACGTTGAGCCACGGCGGCAGCTCGTACACAAAGATGCGCGGCCGCACCGCCGCTCCCGCCCGCGGCAGGCGCGTTCGTTGGTCGAGCCACACCTCGGGAGTGCCGCCATCGGCCCAGGACAGGCTGCAGTCGATGCCCCAGGCGCCGGGGCGGCAGTGGCAGAAGCCGTGCAGGCAGCGCCCGCGGCCACTGCAGCGGTTGAAGCAGGTGACCCAGGGGGCGTCCCACCGCTGCACCGGGGCCTGCACCAGCGCACCCACAACGAGCGGCGTCAGCGGGAAGCATGCTGCGCTGGAAGGTCGTGCAAAGGAGTGCTTTTGACTGTCATCTGATGAGAGTGCTCGTGGGGCTCCCACAGGCAGCCTCTGAGGGGAGTCGAGTTGCAGCCAGATTGCAGTGTCCGTGCTGCGCACCTCGCACGCCATCCCCGCGTCGTTGATGGAGCACATGCAAGTGCCGCCCTCCGTGCAGGCGCCGCGGTAGTGACACGAGCTGGGGCAGTCGTCAATGTCCTGAAGGATAAGGAGGGGCGGACGTCAGACATCCGGGATCAGGTGGGCCGTTTTGCAGAGCACCCCTCAAATTGGCGATGGCAACCAGGAGACTACACGATGGAGAATGCCACCCGGATACTCTGCAAACGAGGCAGGGCGGTGACTGGAACCAGGGTCAAGTTGCCGCTCACCCGCACCCTGTGGGGCGGGCGGAACGGGCCCTCAGGAGGGGGCCACCGCGGCGCGATTTCTTTCCCCTTGCCATCCGTGCGCAGCAGCATCTGCGGCCTGGCGTAGATGTCGCTCAGGTTGTCCGAGAAGGGGGGGATGTCGTCTGCATCAAAGCAGGGCTCCGACGCAGCAAACGCGTACTGCTGGCACTGCACATCCGAAACAGCACAGGTGTATGATGGGAGGCATGGTTGGCCTCTGACATGGATTGGCCCTTTGCATATGCGATTGATTCTCTGATTCGGATCGGAGCTGAAAACTGTGGTTTACGGGTGCATTGCTTGTTGCAACGGACAGTTCTAGTCTCGAATATGTTGGCCATCATCACATCCACAACAGATGGCAAAACACCTGTGACCAACGTTCTCCTTCTCCCGCGTGGTAAGAGACGCCCGGCAAGCGCACTCGGTCCAAGTGACACCCATCCCCCTCCTCAGCAGAACAGAGGTGGTGGCCCCTCCTTTACAGGGATCCCCCGCTGGCCCTCTTTGTGCCTGAGGCTGGGCCGCTGACCTGGAGGGTGCACTGGCACGTTGTGGGCTGTGCGCAGGTGGTGGCGTACTCGGGGGTCAGCCAGCACGCGGGCATTGCGGGGTCGCTGCAGTCGGGGCCGGAGAAGCTGGCGGGGCAGTCGCAGCGGGCCAGCTCCTCGTTGCACGTGCCATGCTTGCTGCACGCCGGGTGACACCGCGTGCTGTGGCTCCCGCGCTGCGCTGCCTGCGCCACCCCCCTGGGGCCCCTGTCTGCAGCGTCCCTGCCCCGCACCAGCTGGCTCAACGTCCCCAGGAGGCCCCCCCCTCCCGCCTGCACGCCGCTCAGCGTGCTCCCAACTCGCACGCCGTCCACCAGGATGTCACTGCCCGCATACTCCACCCGGCGGCACGACTCTGCGCTGCTTTGAGACGAGCGCCCCTTGAGGCTCTCCCATTGCACGATCACCTGGTTCCACTCCTGCTCAGTGAGGGCGGGCGCAGCGTGCTGGCGTGCGTACCAGCCGCCCTGGGCCAGCAGTGCCAGGACCACCGAGCCTGTCAGGAAGCCGGCAATGAGGCAGATGCTCCAGGCAAAACCACGGCCGGCCATCGCACAACCACAGCTCGCCTCCTACTGTCGATCTCCTGAGCACGTTTGTGCCCATTGACATCTACTCTCAGATGTCATCAGAGACCGCCCTGCTCGCACAGTACAAGGCGCCCAATTTTCCCTGTCACCACCTAACATTAGTCTTGGAATACTCGAGACGATGGGCCAAGCCATCGTGCCGCCGTATTGAGAATCTGCAGCCTCGGTGCCAGAAGTGCTGTACATTGTCAATGTCAATGATG